CACGCCCTCCCACCAGCAGCCCAGGCAAATCCCGCCCTTGCCCTAACAGCATAGATACCATTTTCCTTTCAATCTATACAGTGTTATGAACCAATTCTTCACGATTCAGAACCCTATATTTTAATCAGTGCTGTGCTGCGATATGTTGTTACTTGCCCGCATTGTGAAAGACAAAGTCTTATGAATTAGGTGCTTTGTTTACGGCTACACGAGCTACTCCAGATATAGTCTTCTAGGTATTGCAAGATTGATAGGCCTGCTGGAGTCACCGCTGGTTCGACGTAATTAACTGGGAACAAGAGCTATGGCTGCAGAGCTGCGCTCATAGGTCCAAGCGTAGCGCTGCGCGGTCATGATTTCTTGCGCTAAGCGAAATCTCTGTTATTAATGCATCTAGTACACAATGATAGTACAGATACAATACAGCGTACAACACGATTTCGTCGACCTCTATTTTATATTTATTTATTCATTTCTTTAGTAGCTAGGTTTCTTTTCGCCCAGCCTAACATCCGTAAGGGCACGCCAAAGACCCTATAGTAACCTAAATAGCGGTCTTTGGTGACGGACTGGAATGAATTAGGCTGGTGAATAAGTATCGAGACGGCATAGCATATAGTTTCTACAACACTATAATACTACATTGGCCGTTCGTGATTGATGTCTGCAATAGCGACTTAACTGCACATCGCATACAACTGAGCACTATGAAAAAGGCGGCAAGAGGCAGATAGACCACTATCGTGAAGGAGGGAGGAGAAAGAGGCGCGGGCAGAAAAAGGCCAATGATGGGAAGGAAAGAACTGCGGGTAGATAAATCCACGAAAGAATCAAACGAGACCTTACCCCGAACTGGAGCAGCTAGCTGGACAGTTAACTTACCCAGTGTTGCCCGTCGTAAATAGATCTTGATCAGTCAGCACCCCAGTATCGAGTTCATGTCCGATTTCGAAGTCGTTCTCGATGTTTAACGACGTGATAGGACGGGCTTGAAGCAGGTAGATCTGGCCATCTTTAACGGCAAACTCTATATCTCGTGCGTCCGAGAATGACTTTTCAATCTGCAGCCAAAGAACGTGTTACTACAATGCTTACCGTAATGCATATGTTCTGTGTATAGTTTCCTAAGATTAGATTTTATTGCGCTATTGTATAGGTATAGGTAGAGAGCTTGATACTTGATACTTGAGCGTTGAGGCTTGATACATGGCTAGCGCAATGTGGCATGTTTGTATTTTAACGCAGGTCTAATGTAGACGGGAAAAAGCTATTAACATATATATAGCGTGGTGACACAGCCATGAAAACGGATCATAATCTAAAACACATATTAAAACCAAGGGTTCTGGTGGGTTCTAGCTTAAGTGACCGATCATGACGATCAGGAATGTCATGTTGGGAGGGGTGTATCATGTGTTCTGGGAGGGGTAGTAGAAGGGTACCGTTCACTTGGGTGTCATAATCAACCATCGTGCTGCTGAGAGGCACTCGTTTGGTTGTTTAAAATTTGATCGCATCTACAAATGGAATCGCATTCGAATAACTTAATAAATCAGGAACTGTGGAAGTATTACACGTTTGGAATCTATTCCGAATCCTTTTCACATGGTTTAGGAACTTATGCAAAACAAGATTTTATTGAGAAACTGAATATATTTGCAGCGATATATGTGATCAATGTTAGCAAATGCGTCGCTCGCGTGGAGAGCACTCACCAGAATACCGATTTCACCGAGCTGAAGAATCAACTCATCCGACAAGCTGGATTTCTGGCCGTCATCCGCTCCAACAGTTTCATCTACTATCCCTCCAACGGACGAGGCTGTACAAAATAGAGTTTGCGTTCGATTGTGCTATAATTGTATA